TACTAGGTTTGATATTCGGAAGTACATTGGGTATAGTACAACGAGGTACGCCTTTGACTTTATTACTAGTGGTAGTTCGAGATCAAATACTTGATGTTAGATGTATTACGATAACGGAAGTTAGGGCGTGGCATGGCCCTCTGGCGCTCCGGGGTTGGATCTCGTTATTAGCATTTCCATTTTATCTCTTATTGTCTGTGGCTTGTTTTATATTACTGTATGCATGTATTGTTTTATGTTGTAAATAAATATTTGATGTTGTAAACCGTGTTGATTTTATCCGATTGTTATCCTTATAAATACCCTCTGTCCTTTGTTCTTTTTGCTTAGCTATATTTTCAGTACCATCAATACCCCATATCAAGGTCGCATTACAATATCTTCTGTATTTCACTCGAGTCATTGAATAACAGTTGTAGGTATTCATAGAATTGAATGTACAATTTCAGCTGTATAAATTCAAATTATTCGAACTGGTTCAAACTGACACGCGAAATATATCATTTGAAAATATTGACCAATCAAATGTTGTCCTTTTTGAGGACTATGTACATATTTTCGTACCTTCTCGATTAAAGAGCCAACCACAAAGGGTTTTATTAGTAAGGTGCATCGAGTATCTAGTCTACGATGAAAAAATCCAGGTACAAAACAATTGAATATATATCTTAGAATTTATTCTATGTTTTGAATAAAAATTACATTAAACATTCAAAAGTGTCATTATCAAAGTCGGTTTTTACACTAACGTTAATTTTATTCGAGGAAAGGAGAGGGTAATTTTACTAAAATTCACATTCGTGTTTTTTATTTAAAAAAAACTCTATTCTCTTTGCAATTATACTTACTAATTGCTCATTGTCTTTATGCAGAAGTTAAAATTAATGGGATTTATATTCACAAACGTCTGACAATAATTGTCCCAAGGTTGTTGAGGTATTGGAATATTTTGTTGTATTATAGTTTAAAGGTTTTGGTTTCCTAATGATCTGTGTACTCTTAGATGTAGTTTCCTTTTCTTGCTGAGTTGAGAATATGTTTTGGTCCATTCCCTTTGGCAATCGTGTGTAACGACCCGTAGACACATCTGTCGGAGAGCTGTAGTGTGACGAGTCACGAGATACTAGACTGAACGGGAGCGGGAGTGTGCTAAATCCAATGTCCAGTGCGGGAATCGAACCCACGGGGCCCTCCACTCTCCACGGGCGCGAGATTGTAGTACCGACTTCCTTTCGAGGGTCATTACACACGCATACATATAGTGTATACATGTACGTATGCAACAAAACGAGTCTATGGGATCAAGGAGCGGAATAGATAAAGGGAGACATCTAAAAGCACACACAACAGTCATATACAAACCCTTGGGCCATCTAAATATTGTATCGCAAACATTTTTCGCAAACATCTCTGAGTAGGCGAAAAAACAGTTTCCTTTTGCTTATAATTCAATTTATAATTGAGTCCCATCTACAAGTCTTTCATTAATGGAAAAGTCGATGGTGTTCAATTCACCATACACAAACAGTCGCAGATTGGTGAGCCTAAAAGGAGACAAACTTATAGAGGCCGTTGAAACTTTTTGAAAGCAGTAGAACAACACAATTATGATAAATTCTAATTCGCGTAAAACGTTTTATTTTTTTTAGAATTCGTTTAAAAGTTGAAAATACACTTGATTAAACAAGTTTTGATACTGCATCAGCTTTATCATTTCATGAGGAAATTTCGTCATGAGAGGTACCTTTAGCGTATGATTTACAATTGCATTCACTTTTTCTAGCGTTAGCATTGTATGCATTCATTATAAAAATGCTGGTGTTTAAAAAATAATATGTATTCAAAAATGGGAAAAAACGCCAATATTTTGCATCGAGGTTTGAATTAATTCGAATATTAATTGCAATTTCTTGTATATAATGTAAGGATTGTTTGAAAATTTCGTTTCGTGTTTCTACAGGACAAGAAAACATGATAAGGTAAGTGGTAATTATACGAGGGTTGTCCAAAAAGTCTTGAAGTTTTTGCTCTAATTTTCTTGAATGTTCTTCAATTCAATTAGAAATATCGTTTTGTGTTCATACAGGACAAGAAAGCATCATCAGGTAAGTGGTAATTGTACGAGTCTTGAAATATTTGCTCTAATTTTCTTCAATAATTTTCAATTCAGCTAAAACATATCGTTTCGTGTTGTTACAGGACAAGAAAGCATCATCAGGTGAGTGGTAATTGTACGATGGTAGTTATATAATTTCAAGCTGGACAAGGGTAATACCGAAATGATGATTGAAGCCTCAGTCTCATTTACGGCGGCTGTATCTTTACAAAATCGGTGTAGAAAATGTATAGCTGACCCCTATACAATTTTATGTTAGATAATTATCTCGATTTCGGAATGCTTCAAATGCTCTACGGTTGCCGTAAATCAAATGTGAACACAAGACACAAGGAAGAGTTTCTTTCGCGGACTTCAAGTGTAAACACGTAAAATACGGAAAAATGAGGTTCCCAATTGCTCGCTAAATATGACGGTAGCCAAATTACAATACAAAGCACGATTTAAAAAATATTTCTGCGTTTCAGGGCTAATGATTTAAATCTGACCCGTATCATTACATAACATAGATCAGTTAGTAATGCGTCGTTATTAAAGCTCTAGTACTTGTTTCGCTTTGGAGAATAATATTTCTACCAGCTTTGCGATTCGTATCGAAGGTGTGATCTCGATAAATTCGATTCAATGATTCGGCAGATTACCTGTGATTAAATTTTAATTCTTTAGGACACTTGGTGACTATCTAGTAAAGGCTATTATTTTTCTGTTTTAGAAATTTTGTTGTACGGTACCCACGTGCGTATATGTAGCTATGCCACTGCGAGAGCGTAATGCTATTTCAACAAACAGAACTACTTTTTTCGATTTCATAGCAATATGTTTGATGATTTGAGAAAAATATACTTTGTCGAGATGCATTTTAAAGATTTGGATAATGAAAGTAAAAAATTTGAATTTCTTTTTTAGGGAACCAGTAACACTGTTCCATAACTAGTTACTTTGACGGAACGTCAATTTTACAAAATGGATGAACTTCCTGGATGCGCCTTTTTGTTTTCTCGATTTAAACTGATGTTTGAGTCATGTTGTGAATTATCATTTGGCACATAGTTAGACAATATAGACAATATAGTCTAGCTTTTTGAAATGCTCTCGGTTGCGAATTTGATTTTTCAATGGAGCTGTAATTCGTACATTTAGCCCATCGGTTTTGTAACATTGATGTAAGTCGCCAAAGTAACAAACATTGGTAATATAACGGACTTTCGTCAATGAAACAAAAATGAGGGGCTAAATATATAAAGGAGTGGCATCGATATGGAGAACTGAATTCAACAATGTTTTTCTCTTAAACCAATCGTTGAAAACATTCTGTAAAAACACGGTATTTTAGGTAATGGAGAGGTTAAGCTTTGCATATATAATCGAAACTGAACCTGTACGTATCACTCGACCATATACAAATTCATGTAGCCTTCTCATATAAATAGCCGTTCAAATCCAGTGTTTGTTTAGACTACACCATAGCGTGTAATGATTCTATAGTATGTCATTGATGCGGTTTTATAGCTGGTTTTCTAATACATATTTTAAACGAGCTCGTTTCGTAAGATTTTTGGCGCTAAATCATGCATGACATACATCATCGTGTTCAGCAAGAATTCAACTGTGCATCGAAATCAAAATTGACAGCATAGTGTTCAATAGACACGAGTAAAATGGTTCCCGTTGACCCAACGTCAAATATTCAAATCTCCCGTTCTAAACCCGAAACTCTGAAGCTGAAAGAGTATCTGAAGTAGACTAAGCGCGCATAAAACTATGAGCGCTCGATACATTCCTTTGTTAATTTTTGTACTTTGCGTTCACGGTTACGTTGTGAAAAACATCGTTAGCTTAACCTCTCCAATGTTGACCTGATTGACAACAATTTAAAGCAAAAATTATTTAGAAATATTTTATATAACTGTTTTTGTTAACTTGTTTTGCTCCTTTCTACCAATTCTTGAGAATGAAATAAAATGTCTTTCCGAGTCTTGTTGGAACAAAATAGCATATTCAACATGTTTTTAGACCTCTCAATATTATAGTTATACAAATGAATTTTTGGTTGATTTTTAAAAAAAGTATTCAAAAAATTAAAACAAAATCCCCCAAAATAGATAAAAATCAAGATAAAGCTTTTATGCTCATCTTGGCAAAATTAGATGGCAGATATCATTTCTACATATTTTAAAACAATTTTCGTGTAAATTGGTTGAAAATTGTTCAAATGAGAGCAATTTTAGTGAACATTTTTGTGACGGATTTTCTCGTCACTCTGGGTTTCAAGATCATTTCTGAGATGACGAGAAATCTCGCCACTCCAGGTAATCAAGAGGTTAACAAGATACTTTTTAAAAATCAACCACAATATCCTTTGTACAATTACAATATTGAGAGACCTAAACATGTTGTGTTTATGTCGTTTTGTTCCAATGAGGTTCGGAAAGATGTTTCATTTCACTCTGGAAACATGATACCAAGAACAAAACAAGTGTTTGATGTGTTTTCTAAAACAATATAGATGATAGTATATATATATATATAGTCAAATGATATTGCTACCATTCAAAAGATGATCATTAAATTGACGATGTGTTAAATTTTTAGATTTTTTATGACTGGTTTAAAAGAAACGTGTGTTCAAAAAGTTCTCCATATCGATACCACTCCTTTCAACTTCATTTACAAAACAAATTCCAAATCGAAATTAAAACTGGACTATATTTTCTATCTTTGTGCCAAATTATAATCTGCAAGCTTGGCAGGAAGTTCATCCATTTGTTACATTGACGTTCCGTCAAAGTAACTAGTTGTGTAACAGTGAGTAAGACAATTAAATTTGCATTTAGAGCATGTTTTTTTATCTTGCATATTTATCGTGTTGTTAATAGAAATTAGTGAATAACTCCAACAGTGTCATTACTATTTCCATACTATTTGTTGAATAGTAAGACTGACCACTGTTAATAAATAAACGAACTAAATTAAACTATATCTACTTAACTTCAATACTCTTTGTTTAAGCATAATTTTGGAGGTGTTCGTACTTTTGGTATTGACAAGTGTCAATGGACAAGACCGCATCCAGGATGCTGGAGATTTGAGCGCTCAGGATATCAGAGACATCCTCTTGGACGAAATGAACAGACTTCGTACATTAGTTGAACCTGGGCCACCGTCTAATATGAACTTATTGGTAATTAGTTTATATTATCTTAAAATGTTTCGTAATCATATTTCCGAATAAATAGGCATATGTTAATCAAATCTTCACCTGGATCGCCATCGAATATGAAGAACTTGGCAATTAGTTTATATTATCTTAATTCGTTTCTTTATCATATTTCCGAATAAATAGGCATATGTTAATCAAATCTTCACCTGGACCGCTATCGAATATGAAGTACTTGGTAATTAGTTTATATTATCTTAATTCGTTTCGTTATCATATTTCCCATTAAATAGGCATATGTTAATCAAATCTTCACTGGGACCGCCATCGAATATGAAGTACTTGGCAATTAGTTTATATTATCTTAATTCGTTTCGTTATCATATTTCCGAATAAATAGGCATATGTTAATCAAATCTTCACCGGGACCGCCATCGAATATGAAGTACTTGGCAATTAGTTTATATTATCTTAATTCGTTTCGTTATCATATTTCCCATTAAATAGGCATATGTTAATCAAATCTTCACTGGGACCGCCATCGAATATGAAGTACTTGGCAATTAGTTTATATTATCTTAATTCGTTTCGTTATCATATTTCCAATTAAATAGGCATATGTTAATCAAATCTTCACCTGGACCGCCATCGAATATGAAGTCCTTGGTAATTAGTTTATATTATCTTAATTCGTTTCGTTATCATATTTCCGAATAAATAGGCATATGTTAATTAAATCTTCACCAGGACCGCCATCGAATATGAAGTATTTGGCAATTAGTTTATATTATCTTAAAATGTTTCGTAATCATATTTCCCATTAAATAGGCATATGTTAATCAAATCTTCACCTGGATCGCCATCGAATATGAAGTACTTGGCAATTAGTTTATATTATCTTAATTCGTTTCGTTATCATATTTCCCATTAAATAGGCATATGTTAATCAAATCTTCATCTGGACCGCCATCGAATATGAAGTACTTGGTAATTAGTTTATATTGTCTTAATTCGTTTTGTTATCATATTTTCCATGAAATAGGCATATGTTAATCAAATCTTCAACTTATTTTTATCTTGCCACGTTTATTAGAAATGGAGTGATACTTTAGAAATTTGTGCAATGAAGCACGCAGTGACATGCCCGAATGCACATGATGGTTTTGATTGCGTGATGTATTATATGTTTAACTTATTTGAATCATGTTATAGAAATGGAGCGATACATTAGAAATTTGTGCAATGAAGCACGCAGTGACATGCCCGACTGCCCATGATGGTTTTAAGTGCGTGATGGCTTCTGAAAACATGTTTGGGATCTCCTGGCCTCTCTCAAAAGAAAAGCTTGAGTAAGTTGTTTCATTTTTGGACCAATTTGAGTATGGTATATAGTTTTTGACAGTCATATATTTAATCATGAGTACATGAGTACTTTCGTGCCATAAACACAAGTGGTTCTTATTAATACAATATTACCCCATGGTGGTAGGAATACCAACCAACTCTCGGAAAAAGAATGGATTAGGACCCAATTTTATGCTTATTTTTTAAAAAAAGATCTTGCTTTTTCTCAATATAAATATTCCAAAAGTTCTACACTATATTAACAACTTCTGAAAAGGTGGGTTGAGATTGATATAGTTAAGAACCACATATTCCATAGTTTTTCCTTTATGAAAAACCATTGTTTTCAGCATAGTTTCGGTTATCAAAAATTGATATCTTCAAAACTCTGACACTTTCAATCCATTCTAGATCCAATCGTTGAATTATCTGTTCATGCGATAAAAATCAGAAAATGAAAATCCAACTTTGAGTAAATAGGTTCAACATTATGAAAAAGAAAAAATGTTGACATCGGATCCGTATTCATAATTGTCGAATTGTTTGATTGATATTTTTTATTATCCTTGAAAAGTTAAATGAATGATAACAGCAAACAGTGTATTTTATGCATTTCACAAAGAAACTAACAAACTTTTGAAAACGTGTATGTATATCCCACCAGATTTTTAATATCCGCCAATAATTTAAAACTACAGGGTGAGCCAAAAAAGGTAACCGAAACAAATATATGTTGATAACTCAGTCATTCAGCATGGGTCTAAAATCATATTTGGCAAAATTAAACCTTGTTCAATGCTCTTTAATTCTACTAAGTGTCATCGGTCTTAGTCACGATTTTAATGTCATTTACAATAAAGATGCTTAAAAAGCCATAATGAGCCTCGCTGACTGGACATAAATCCCACCAGATTTTTATCCAAGGGACTATTTTCTATACAAACAACCCTTGAAACATTGAAACAAGAGATAAGAAGGAAGATGAGAGTCATAAGACAAGATGTTTATGCTCGCGCAATACGTTTAAGTTTTCCTTAAGTTTGACATAACGCCCATATGTTATGGCTTTTTTGTAAAATGACGGTAAAATCGTGACCATAAGAGATTGACCACTGAAACTTAGTAGAATAACAATACATTGAACATAGGCTCGTGGTGCCAAATATGACGCTAAAGTCATGCAGATTGATTGAGTTATTAAACTTTGTTTGGGTTACCCTTTTAGCTCACCTTGTGCTAGTACGAATTCTATTTTTAATTACAAAGTTTATATGCATACAATATGAATTACATAGAACAAAAAAGCGTTTTGTGTATATTTTTGATTCAGTTATGTGCGATGTACTTTGTAAAACGTCTCTGTGTAATTACAGGTCAATAAATAATATAAAATGCAAATGATTGATACCCATAGGTCAAAGGCGAGAGGCTGGTGGAATGAGATGATTAAGCCCGGATATGACTGGTACAATGCGAATGCAGTCAACGGGAAATGGGCCTCAGCGGGTCACTACACGAATGTAAGCTGTTTAATTTAATAAACTTCTCTCAGTACGTTTTGTAGTCCTAAGTTCCCCTTTACAAATAGATCATTAATCAAAGCCTGTCCATCCTTAATCATCGAAGAAATGTTGATTTAACGTAAAATCAACCTTGATCTGGTCTAACATTGATTTTGCCCGATGGGTTGATTCAATGTTAAATCAAGGTTGATTCAGTGGTGATTTTAGAAGCTTGGTTTAAGATTGAGAACAAGTTTTAATCATATCTAGCACCGATTGGTTATCGATATTTAGAAAATTATTGATGTGAGCAATTATTGATGTGTGCTTGAACCTGAGACTTTCATGTTAGTGTCAGGCTTTAACGCCCCTTTTGCCAAACTTCTTTAGGGGAGCGTATGTACGCGTATTAATCAAATAAGGTAATGAAAGGAGTCGCTGAACAGCCGTTGGAGACAGACATGGTAGTCAGAATACGTTCAGTGCCTTAAACCTTGAAATTAAATTCTGGACGATTTAGAACTTTATCAAATAATAGATTTTATGATTGCCATCAGTCATTTTGAATACATTTTCCTTTCTCTTAAATTACAAGGGGTGATCAACGAATAACGCAAATAGAGGTCTATCTCTAATACTAATTGGAGTTAGTACACTAAACTTGATACATAGTATCACCGAAAATTCATTAATATTTCCAGAAAGTTTCAGGCACAAACATTGATATATGCCAAAGTAACAGTTACCATAGTACCCCGTGGTATGGGTACCTGAAGCAGGTCTTTGATATTAAGTAATAATAAGGATTTAGCATACGGTAACCCAAGTCGTGGGCACCTGAAACACCTCAACTATATGATGTCACAGTTTTTTTAACAATCACTTTCAGACTCATAACTCATGCCCAGTTCATGTTAAGTAGTAACAGTCCTATCAACCATAACCAGCTCCTCTACTTCTTTAATATTCTCTGCTATGCGTGTTGTTTTCGGAGCACCTGTACGGGAAGTATCCTCAGCAGATCTTTTTGGTTTTTCAGAAATCGTTCTGTACCATCTGTAGACATTGCTTAGTCCATTTTTATTCCCCAATGACTTATTTTGCATCTCCTGAGGCATTATGAAATAACGATTAAAAGTAGATCACATCAACTAATAGAAACTTTTCAGAATTAATTTACACCCAAATAACATCAAATTTGTATGACTTAACAGTGTCTTTCAAACTCATTTTGGACAGACGTTTAATACCTTATTGTTATGATTCACGACCTGTTTCAGGTGCCCATACCACGGGTTTCTATTGCAACCGTAACTCTTGCATTAAGTAATATTTGTGCCTCAGATTTTGTTGCAATAATAATGAATATTTGGTGATACAACGTTTCAAATTTGGTGTTCTTACTCCAATTAGTTTCTGAGATATGGCTCTATTTGCGTTATTTGTTGATCGCCCCTTGTAGTACATACTCATTAATGTGTTGATCTAGATCTACGGTTTCAACATTCTTTGGTTGTCTTCACCAGGCTGCTATGTTGTTATATATAATTATTTATATTTGTTACAGCAAGACAGTGCTAGAACTACTGAAGTCGGATGTGGTTTATTTGATTGTTCCTCACAGCAAAAGGGAAGTCAATTAGTCTGCAAGTATCGCACAACGTAAGTTTATTTTATGATTATTTCAATGGCGGTTTTTTTACAATTCAGTATCGTTCATTTATGGATCACGTTAAATACCAAAACTGAGAATCAGTTAAAATAAAATACGAATATGAATTTCATACTGGATAGCATTTTTAGATTCAATATTTTTACATAAAAGTCTAATTAGGCCTATATTGATTTGCAGTTGTTCACCTATTAAATTTTTCTAGACTTTGTTTGCATCGATTCGGAAAAATAAATGATATATTCATTTCTTTATTCTTAGCTTTAAGGATCTTGGTGACTATGTAGAGAAAGTATATCGGCTTCCCAACGGTACCTCTCGTTTATATGAAGTTGGAGAACCCTGTACAAATTGTCGCTATGGTAACGGTTGGTGTTACAAAGATTTATGTGGTAAGATAAACTTAAATTGGATCACAATGTAATAATGAGTACACATATAAGATGTCGCAATTTATACCAAATGTTTATGTAAAATTTGTGTCACACCATGAGTACATGTATATTTTAAATACGAATTTATTATATGCCATATGTTATAGTGAAATTTGAAGATTCAGTACTTTTTTTAACAATTTCTAATTGCATTTCAGTTAAACAGTGTCCTCAGGGAACTAAAGAGTCGGGTGAATGCAGTAAGTAAACTCTTCCACACAATCGTGATGTGGTGTCTTAGAATGGCTTGTCATAATGATTAGTTGCCCAAGGGATCAGTTGTCTTAGGATGGGTTGTCCCAAGGATGAGTTGTATAGGAATACGTTGTCTTGGGATAAGATGTCCTAAGGATGAGTTGTCCTATGGATGAGTTGTCCGAAGGATGAGTTGTCCTATGGATGAGTTGACTTAGGATGAGATGTCTAGGGATGAGTTGTCCTAGGGATGAGTTGTCCGAAGGATGAGTTGGCTTGGGATGGGTTTTTCTAAGGATGAATTGCCCTGAGGATGAGTTGTCTTGGGATGAGTTGTCCTAGGATGAGTTGTCTTGGGATGAGTTGTCCTAAGGATGAGTTGTCTTTGGATGAGTTTTCCTCAGGATGAGTTGTCTTGGGATGAGTTTTCTTAATGATGAGTTGTCTTGGGATGGATTGTCCTAAGGATGAATTGTCCAAAGGATGAGTTGTCTTGGGATGAGTTGTCTTAAGGATGAGTTGTCTTGGGACGAGTTGTCCTAGGGACAAGTTGTCTTGGGATGGGTTGTCCCAAGGATGAGTTGTCCTAGGGACGAGTTGTCCTAGGGACGAGTTGTCTTGGCATGGGTTGTCCCAAGGATGAGTTGTATTTGCATATGTTGTCTTGGGATAAGATGTCCTAAGGATGAGTTGTCCTAGGGATGAGTTGTCCGAAGGATGAGTTGTCCTAAAGATGAGTTGTCTTGGGATGAATTGCTTTGGGATGAGATGTCTAGGGATGAGTTGTCTTGAGATGAGTTGTCCTAGGGGTGAGCTGTCTTCGGATGAGATGTCTAGGGATAAGTTTTCTGTATGCATGAATGAAATGAATCAAAGGCACACTTCTACATTATACTATATAGTTTTTAGATAAATAACCGTTGTTGTTTTAGAATGTGCTTTTGTAGACCATCTTTACCCGGACACCTGTCAATGTAAATGTATCAAAAGCACAGTTCTTCTTTATACGATATACTCTATAAATCATTGTTCCTGTTTGAGAATGTGCCTTGGTGGCCCGTTGTAATCAAAACCCGGACACCTGTCAATGTGAATGTATCAAAAGCATTGTTATTCATTATATTATGTACTCTATAAATCATTGTTGTCGTAACAAAATGTGCCTTGGTAGACCATTGTAATGAGGGGAATCGTAACCCGGACACCTGTCAATATAACGATATACTCATTGTTCCTGTTTGAGAATGTGCCTTGGTGGCCCGTTGTAATCAAAACCCGGACACCTGTCAATGTGAATGTATCAAAAGCACAGTTTTTCATTATACTATATAAATCATTGTTGCTGTTTCAGAATGTGCCTCGGTGGCCCGTTGTAATCAGGGAATCTAAACCGGGACACTGGTCAATGATAATGTGTCAAAAGCACATTTCTTCATTATACTCTATATGATTAATCATTGTTGCTGTTTCAGAATGTGCCTTGGTGGACCGGTGCAATAAGGGAACTCTAAATCCAGATACCTGTCAATGTGAATGTGACCGAAAGCACGTCGGACTTAAATGTGACAGTGAGTAATACCCCAGTCAAATTTGATCTATGGCTACCGTATGACGGACTTAGCCTCCAAAATCGATAGAAATGCAGCTTAAAAATAAGGCTGTTCCGCTGTATTATGTAAATTTCTGTATCGATATTGTGAAGCTACGGCCGTTGTAGAGCAAATGTGTCTAAGGGCCTCAGTGACGCTTAACTATATCAAAGAGTAAATAGACTAAACATAACACCTTGGTCACTCTTTAAAATGTCAGTCGAGAGCAACCTCAGATTATTTCATAATATGTTCTGATATAAAGTGTTCACTAAAATGAACACATCAACACAGATGATATCTAAAAATATTAAGAAATGATAATGTATTGCTATCATCAAATCTGCAGGAAGCTGTACGAACTTCGGAAACTGCAAAAATGTTGACTGTAACGATCCAGTGGCTGCGAAAACGAAATGTCCAGCTGCATGTGGGCAATGTGGTAAGCTTTGTTTATCAAAGTTAAACACAGATTGAAATATGGCAACACTTTAACGTTTTGCAGCCTTTTATCAATCATTATAAACCGAAGATCGTGTATTGATACTTGTATCAAAAATACCTTCCTTAACAACATACGGTTCACAATACATTTAGATACTTGTGCAAAAGACGCCTTCTTTTGAACATTAGTCCAAAGTACATGTTAAGATACGTGTGCCAAACTGCCTTCCTTTATAATATTCGGTTCTCATACATTTAGATACTTGTACTAAAATACTCTCCTTTATAGTATTCAATTTACAATACATTTAGATACTTGTACTAAAATTCTCTCCTTTATAGTATTCAATTTACAATACATTTAGATAATTGTTCCAAAAACGCATTCATTTATAGTATTCAATTTACAATACATTTAGATAATTGTACCAAAACGCCTTCCTTTATAGTATTCAATTTACGCCTTTATTAAAATTCAGTTCACAATACTTATATTTGTGCCAAAATTCCTCAGCATTATGACAGTCATTTAGTTCACAATACATTTAGATTGCTTCGATAAAGGGGAGTGCGTTCATGGCACCTTCGATACATCTGGGGATGTTTGCGGATGTGTGTGTGAGAACTTATGGCAAGGAAGAACCTGTAACGGTAGGTTATGATATTCTAACTCCCGGTGATCGGGAAACTGGATGGAAGTGGGGGGGGGGGGGGCGGGTCGGCGATTTCTGCCAGAAAATTCAACTCATCTCGGAGGTTTATTTTTCAGAGAAAGTTAACATTTGAATTGCTAAATGAATTGGCTATGCTTGGTAAGAGATATTACTTGACTTTATATTATGAAATATTATACAATATAGCCATATCTTTATTAGTCTTGTAGAAGTAATTTTATTTGACTCCCATCCCCAAGATTTTTCCAATAACAGAATAATTTGAAGTATTTAACAATAAAATGGAAAAGGGTAAATCACACTTATAATTGATAATTTTTTGAGAAAAACTGTTCTGTCATCTTGGTTGGTTTTATTCGTTTTGAGATACTTCAATAAATTATTACATATATATTTTCTAGTATCATTTTGCAAATTTATTACATATTCAGTATTCTAGGTCCTAGACTGTTTTTTGTCTCTAACCCCCCCCCCCCTTCTATATTTTATTTCTTCATATTAACAATATATATATATATTAACAAAATTACCTCGAGAACTATGTTTTTATATATCTTATATACATTTTACACATTTATTGCATTTTTCTAGCTAATAAAATATTATATGTTGCTTTTTATTGAAAAATGAACAAACACACCAAAAATCTCACCTTATGTTACTTTGACATATTTTCCACCCTATTTGACCCACTCTTTTGAAGCTTTAATGCACCTCCCTCGAGAGCTTTGATTAGCTTTGATACCTATGATATGGTCACCTGTTTTTTTTTACTTTGGAAACGCCCGTTTGTGTTATGGGAAATACGTTGCCCGGATTAGGACAAAACGTGTGTCACCATGTGACCATATGAACTCAAAGTCATTACAGCTTTTATTTACTTTATTTACTATAGTATGTAATCCATCTGAGTGTAAAAATGGCGGAGTTTGGAACTCAGCCAGTTGCAAGTGCGATTGTTCGGGAATTTGGGGCGGCGCGGATTGTTCTGTTAATTGTACTGTTGGTGATCCGGCTAAGTGGCCGTGTGGTTCTGTCAGTGAGACGGAATTCACATACTCGTGCCCGAATAGATGGTTTAGAAACCAATGCAGTGCAACCTGTTATCCAAAGTGCATGAGTAAGTTTGTATTTGCGGATGTAACTCGCGGCTGTCGGCTACCGGATTAACCTACATTTTTATTGCAAAGTGAATTAAATATGAATGGCAAAGTTACTTGAACAATTCACATATTGAAATGAATAAATTGGGTTAATCCGCCAGCCTACAGTGGGCAGTTGAATTCGCGAATACGAAGTAAGGGGATAGATGTATTCAAATATGCTTTGCATTAAAATCAATCTGTTGAATTAGTTCACTTTAGACCAACTATTTGAACTTGGAACTTAAAGATCTAAAGTTGTTCGTGCTCCTCATCTAACTGTTAATTATAATGTATCGCCCTCTTCTCTAATCATCACCAATGGCTGATTATTTTGATTCTAGAAATGTATCTTAAAGATTGTCCCAATTTATCGGGCATATTGCGATGTGAGAATGATGGAAAGTTTAACATTACTACCTGTGCGTGTGGCTGTGTGACGGGTTATTCAGGTGACTTATGCGAGACAGGTGAGGAAATGTTAAATAACTGTTGATTTAAGGAGGTATGCTTTTATTGTTGATATTAAATCTAATCAGTTTATCAGTCAAAAACCAGCAGTCATTTCGTTGTTTTATTAGTTCAGTGTAGTAACACGTATTATTCTTATGTTGTAACACCTATAATACCCATGTGGGAACACCTATAAATCCCACGTGGTAAGACATGTTAATCCCACGCGGTAAGACATGTTAATTCCATGTGGTAACACATGTTAATTCCAAGTGGTAACACATGTTAATTCCTTATAATAACACATGTAAATTCCATGTGGTAACGCCTATAATACCCATGTGGGAACACCTATAAATCCCACGTGGTAAGACATGTTAATTCCACGCGGTAAGACATGTTAATTCCATGTGGTAACACATGTTAATTCCATGTGGTAACACATGTTTATTCCTTATAACACAGTTATGCAAATTCCATGTGGTAACACCTAACAAATCCATGTGGAAACACATGCTAGTCCCATGTGTGAGTAATACCTTTAAATGTTAATCCAATATGGCAACACCTTTCACAACAGAACCCAACGTGGTAACACTTTTCACTATAATAGAGATAATGGAACACAAAGCAGTCATGTTACTGACGATTTCTCGCAGTAATTTTTATTAAATTTTGGTGTATTCTTCAGTTGACTGTAGTGCTGGAGTCGCCCCCAATGCATGGCCCTGCTATAACCACGATGAGGCCGATAAGTCATACAGATGCGGCAATTCGTGGTTTAGAAAACGGTGTATTTCAACTTGTAATGAAAACTGTAACAACGCATGTGAGTGAACTTATTATTCCCTATTTACAGCAATAACCAATCGTAAAATTGAAATAGGCATCTGGTTACAAGATAAGCATATATGGAGTGAAAAACTATTATTTTAAAAAAAACATTTACTTTTGCCTGCGAAAACCTCTCGCATCTTAAAATACTTTTGTGTTGCAATAAATGTTTTCAGATCTCTTTGAAATCGAGGTTAACATATATTTATCAGATATCTATGATTTCAGTGTAATGGAAAACCTTGACAGCATTGCCCAGATGAACCGGGATATTTGTAGCTGTGTAATAAAATGGAATTGGCATTTCATCATTCGACCTAAAAACTTTACTAGGCCTATTATATTTGATTTACAATACGAAGTAAATAAAATGATAATAAGCAATTTAAAATCGGAGTTGTTCAATATATATATTTAATATTAGACTAGAGAAGCGTGTATCATTACAAAGTTCAACCAAGGGGACAAAAAATATTGGACAATTGTTGAACCTCAAGTTTTGAGTCCTCATCACCCAACGTCCGCTACTTAATATTTTGCACCACATTGCTGCACAAGTTTTCACGAATCGCAAATCAATTTTCTACAATACCACACCAGAATAGCCTGACAACGGTAAAGTCAGATACCGTTGTCACAAATGTCGGACATAACCGTCGCTTCAACTCTTCAATCACTTGGTCCTGTATTAAGCTTGTGTGATCATGTATTATATGAAATCCCAATTTCGATCAAATTGGGTCGTGAATCGACACAATATCAGTATAGCGTCTTCGATATAGTCAATGACAACGGAATCTGAATTTGAGATATTTTACAAGACAACAGCATATTAATTATTATCCTATGCCAAGTAGAGTTTTAGGGAGATAAGTTGGTAAGATATATCCCGTATCCTGATTTTGAGGTTTCCATATCCTGAACCTCCATATCTCCCGCCATATCTCCCACTCCAGGGCATATCTTCCCGCTTCGAATTTTTTTTTTGAATTTTAAAAAATTGAAAAAAAAGAAAAAATGTGAAAAAATAAAAAAATAAAAATTTGAAAAAATAGAAAAAATTAGAAAAATGTGAAAAAATTGAAAAAATAAAAAAAATCGAAAAAAAATCGAAAGAAAATTAGAAAACTCTACTTGGTATAGGATAAATCAGTTATGTACGGTCGGTTTAAATATGGGGTTCATCCCTCGTGAGATATGCACATCTACCTTCGGTCCCTACGGTCCCTCAGGTAGATATGCATATCTCCCTATATCCAAAACCTCCCAGTACATAACCCTTATTTATTATTATCAATCGTTCATTATATGCAAAAAAATTAATTATTCTAAGCTTCTACTGTAAATTATTAAAGATATTTAAACCTCCCCATGTGAGTGCAGTCACATGGTACATTTTTTTCACAATTACAGTAAATGCGGACTACCATGACCACGTATTATACACCATACGATGATATATTACTCGAGTCTCTAGCCAATAGTTTGTCAAGAAGGCATGTGGACCGCCGTGGAGTAATGAAAAAGTTTGTCCTGGAAAAAACTAATTAAAACACCCTCTGTTATGTATAGGACTGAATCTAAGAAGTAGGACCAAATTTCTTCGAACAAAAGAGTTTGGGCCTAATAGCCCTTGAGAAAGCAATCCCACTGAGAGGCATATTTAAATCAAACCGAATGAATCGATTTGTTCTCTAAGGAAACCTAGATATTGATATATGACAATCCTGAGACAGTTTCTGTATTTTCTCGAGTATTATTATTTAATATAAATTGGTTGCTCGGAAGATAAAAGCGAAGTCAATCTTGGTATATTTGATGAAATGATTATTCAAACATAAATCACCGAGGCCGTCATATTGCCTTCAATAACAAAGTTTTTTACCTTGACCTTGTTAAAATTGCGCAAAAATAAAGAATGACGCGATGCTCGTATACAAATGTATGCAGGTGTTTACCCTGTACTTGACACACGATACTCGTTCATGGACGTATACAATAGTATGCAAATGTTTACCCTGTACTAGACACGAGATGTTCATTCATTAACGTATACAATTATGTGTAGGTGTTTACCCTGAACATGACACACGAGGCTCGTTCATGGACGTATACAATTTTATGCAGATGTTTACCATGGACATGACACACGATGGTCCTTCATGGACGTATACAATTTTATGCAGGTTTGCACCCTGTATAAGACACAAGATGCTCATCCATTGACGTATATAATTATGTGTAGGTGTTTACCCTGTACTTGACACACGATGCTCGTCCATGGACGTATACAATAGTATGCAAATGTTTACCCTGTACTAGACACGAGATGTTCATTTATGGACGTATACAATTATGTGTAGGTGTTTACCCTGTACTTGACACACGATGCTCGTCCATGGACGTATACAATAGCATGCAAATGTTTACCCTGTACTAGACACGAGATGTTCATTCATGGACGTATACAATTATGTGTAGCTGTTTACCCTGTAAATTACACCCTGGTTACAGTCTCCAACTTTTTAAGGACGGTAGTCGGCGTTTGCCGTTCGGTACTCGGCGTCTGCAACAAATGGCAGGTAGTGCATTTTGCATGGTCATGCCTTGTTTTTATTTCAGCTTGATTATATTTTTAGAATATTATTCAGTGCTAGGTTTTTGTCCTCAATTATACTTAATAAAATAGAAGTTCAGTATTAAAATTGTTGAGTACAATTCTCCCGTTGGTTTAACCCCAATACACACGTTTCAAGATGTTTTGATATAGGTGCTACTTTTCCATCTAAAAATAGCGAGATGTTATATCTTTAGAAACGGAATAGTATTCTATTAGTTCTTATTCCAAGCCACTCTCTCTGTGAGCGGGAGAAACTCCCAAAGTTAAGGTAATTTTGCCAACTAATTTAGTTTGGCGTTTCTAATTAAATTAAATGTTACCCGTGCCAAACCTGAAACTGATGCCAGTATTATTGCCAGATTTTCAAACGACGAGTATGGCAAAAACAACGAGATTTAGATATAATTGTTGATTCTCATATCCCCTGTAGCTCATAAATTATCTTCACTTAATTCCCAATTTCATCATTAGCTACTACAATAATATTGAGCAAAAATAAAATTTAACTAACAAGGCAAACTAATTTGTTGATACTGAAACGCAGACAATATTCAATATGTGGGTTCAAAATAGAGCAAAAGATCGAAAATCGGGAACTGACAATAAAAGCATCTTCAGGTGATCGAATAAATATACTGAGGGTTATTCTGCATAAAACCATTACACTGGTATCACACAGGTTTAATCTAAAAATTGAAATAGAGTGCAAAATACTAGAGACGGCATGTTAAGGAGGTACATAATACTTTAAGCTACAAATTTAGCTGGAATTATAAAGGCAGTTCAATCAGGTCTAAATAGAAGAGCGTGAAATATGAATTAGCTAACGATTTTTCTAATGGAAATGCAATTATTTCAATATCAGGTAAGCTCATTTTGAACACGCCGCTTAATTAGATATCTATTAGGTAATTAGGGTATCTATCTAGTTGGAATTAGAATTAGTTAGGTAATTGACAAACGCATAGAAACTGCCATTGGGATGGTTGCAAAGGTTTATAGAAAATAGGGGAAAATCTAATTTCAATCTTATTCACTTCGCCTTTGCTCAACCTTAACATGTTCATTTTCTTCATGCAGAAACACCATAAACTGTATCCACCTATTATTAGATTTTATTCATGTCGGGATGTATGCGAAAACAGCAATGCTTGTATGTATGGAATATTATCCAATTTAACATCGAGCTTACCGGGAATTTAATAGGAGATTTATCAAAAATCGTTAAAAGTTTAGTCACGAAGAATAATTTAATGTTTAAATCTTGCTTCGGGGAATCAGTCCGTTAGAATCCACTAATATATTAAAAAACATTCTGGTGAATGGGTGTATCTTTTAAACGAATTAAAGTTAACGCCTTTCTGGGTTATAACTCAAAAATATTGACGGTTTAAGTTCTTGTCCAGAAAACTTCTTGAAATAAACATTTTTATAAAATGCTTTATTAAATCTAGTTAGGTTGTCAGGTGTTCATTCTAGTTGACATACAGGGCGGCCCAAAACAGAACACACAAAAATTGTATTGAATCTTAAAAAGGCCTAACGATTTAGTCCATGTACAATCATTTGCAAACATTTAAATTCAGTATTAATCCCGGTCGTTTTGAAATATAGAATTCAATTTCCTTCCAAAATACTTTGCAGTAGCATGTCGGGAAAAGTCCCTGCAGGATATGTAAGCTTAAACAGCAAAATATGTTTATTGGGAAACAATGACACGGGAGGTAGGGAGGGGGTGGCTGTTTGAGAAGCCGTTTCACTAAAGGAGCACAGCGTGGGTAACAGTCTCTAAACGAGACATTACCATGCAAAATGTCACCAACTGCCATTTGTTACAGAAGCCGACCGCCGAACGCCAATCGCCGAACACCCTCCACAAAAGGTTAGAGACTATAAAAATATGTCACCACATTTGGTCTTGCAGGAAGTGAAATGTTGAGTGGGCACAGTATTCTTGAACGTCCGGATTTTTATCTTTTGAGATTCCCCAATGATAATATTAACAAGAAGAAGTTGTTCTCCAACGATTGGTGAACTGAAAGCATTAACAACAGCGAATGTAGAAATTCCAAAATGAAGATTTGCGCTACATAATGTGCAAGTGATGTCTCCCTCGCCTTATTAACATTTGGAACGTAATTTGGAAATAACATGACCTATAAATTTGCAGAGTGATGAAATTTTAGGGAATAACAATAAACAGAGCGAAATTAAGGTCCAGAAATTTTCGTGAAGTTAACTCGACCTTTGTAGATAAATTTACCATGCGTTCTGTCTTTTGGGTCACCCTGAATGTAATTATTAACTACAAATAACAAGTGACTTGAATTGAATTAAATAGAACATTGTAAAAAGATATGTCAATGAAGTCTGACCAAACCCTTGAGATAATAACGTTAAAATATCAAATCTAATTTTAAGGTTCTGGTAAATTGACATTGAGGAGAAAAGTAACTTTGATCGATTATTGATAGATCTGATGAGTTGTGAATCAAATTAAAGCCGAATTATTCTAGTTACGTTATTAATCCATATGAACTTATACTTCAAAAATGATCTCAGGAGAAGCAATTTATCTATATGTAACCATTCAATTATATGTCTGTTTTTGGTGGACTTTTTGGTTACTTTTTTTGTGGATTTCATTCGGCGGTATGCGTTAGGCGATCGTAACAAATTGCATGTGGCAATATTTTGTATGTTAATATCTCGCATTCTAATTAAAATGCGCCCCAGTCTCCTTGGATCGGTAATGTGTATGCTACAAGATATTTACATACTTTTAAGCAGCGTATTGCTCTTGATAAAAATGAACATTGCTCTCTTTTTCACGAGCATAAAATTGTGTACCGTATCACACTGTATGTACAGTGATCGCCTACTATTACAAGTGCGTGATTTACGTACTTTTAAGTGGCGTATTGCTCTTGATAAAAATGAACATTGCTCTCTTTTTCACGAGCATAATATTGTGTACCGTATTACCTTTGTGGAATTTGCTAAGATTGTAATAGAGCTGCCTTAGAAACACATCCCCCTAAGCAGGTGTCCAGAATCAATACCTCCTTCTTCCCCCTGCTATAACCAATTTGGACGCGCCCGATTTAACTGAATCACGTGATCTAATTATGAGCAATGACTTATACATGATATCTGTCGCAGTGTTGCGACAGCCAATCAGATTGCGAGTTCTTAATCGGGGAAATGGTAACTGCTTATCGCAGGGGGTAAAAAGAAAGAATATGTTCTGGATTTTGAAGCCCTGTGATCGGAGGATGCAGAAACAGGGCACTCTCTCAGGTTTATTTGCAGCTCTTTGTAGCATCTTCAGATAACACAAACACTCCGTTTCTCCATCAATTACCACAGGCCTGTGGCAAGGGTTCACTTTTTTGTTGACCTACTCTTTTTCAGTAATTTTTCAAAAACGGTAAGAGTAATACATAAGCGACTTACCGTTTGGAATTATGAGCTTTTTTCCAAGGAACATGATGAAAAATCCAGGTGCGGAAATATTAAAGGACAACTGAGAAAAGTGGTGAAATGATGAAAACTCAAGATTTGGTCTAGTTCATACACTTTGACCTAGTTTCCCATGAGAAGGAGAAGAAGACTGTATAAAGAAGACTGGCCAAACACTAGACTCCAGATATTCAATCTGAATACCTTGGATACTTTCCAAGATGATCGGTGCGTGCACTTTTTGGCATACCCGATACATGCGTACACTAACTAATTGACATATCGTACCCAGATGATTTGTAAAGATATGACGTATTTGTACTGGTTATGGCCCTCGATATCAAGTCGCTACAACAGTCTCTAGATGTAGTAGCTAGCCCTTATTGGCGAATCGAAAGAGCGTCACTCTTGCGAGCGAAAGGTCCTGGGTTCTGGTCTAGTATCTGGTTCGTTACACAGTTCTCCGGACGAGTTCCCATGGGTCGAATAGTTGAGTCATTGGTCCTTTAATATTCTCATAGACCTTAAAATATATTTTGTTTCTATATCCCAAATTACTGTTGAGCTACTAAGAAATAATGGAAACAAAGTGCCAGAAATTCTAACATATATTTAACTGAATTTTAAAATCTAATGCGTAATCAAATACCAATTAACTTCCTTGAGAAAAAATCGTTCTCCCCTTACGTTTATTTTCTAACATAATACGTAAACCAAAGAGAGATTGCCTGTTCACTACAAATTATTTTTACATATTATACATCCAAGCGGAAGGTCCTGGGTTCGATTCCCATACGAGGCATTGAATTAAGTACACCCCTTTTCATTTTCGTTTGTTATTGTTGATAATAATAGTGTTTTAATTCTAATAATGGCTCATAACTATTTCATTTTTTTAAATATAATAGAAAAAAAATACTCCCAAAGACTATTTTCTTTTCTTATGAGGCTTATAATCATTTTTATTGATTGGTTTTATATTTTTCACACATGGATCCTGTCATCTTCTCTATTGCTTGGATATTATTGTCATATTATTGTTGATATTTTTGTTTGTTATGTCTTACTAGAAAATAAGTTAAAACAGCAACGAGCAATAACAAAATAAATGTTATTAATTGTACATAAGCAAACCACATAAAATTCACTTCATTAGGGAACCTGCAACAAATGGCATTGCTGTAAAACCAAGATTGTAACCAACTACTAGGACTCCCGTTACCACCCCAGTCACTGGCATTGCATACGCTTGGTACCAATGTAAACACAACCCATACAAATTTCCAAGAGATAACCCCACCGTCAACAAAGTCACCCATAGGACAATGTAATGCTTTTGAACAAAAATAACCATCACGGTATAAGAACATGCCAATAGTGTAAAATCTATTACAATCATCTGATTTATACTCAGTATTTTAGATGCCAAAATTACAATGGAAGGCAATTTAGACAAGATGTGAGCACCCCAGTATGCTGTTATGATAGCTGTTCCCTGTGATTCCGGCCATTTTAAGCCCTCGACGACAAACGTCATGACTAGTCCCCCTCCCGTCATTTGAATCATTGCAAACATAAAATACATTAAGAATAAAGTAGTCAAGAGTAGGATTTTGTTACGTTTAGCAAAAGGAGTTATATCTTTCATACGATGGTCGTCAATTTCTTTATATCGCGTGTCGTTAATGGCGCTGGAGTTGTTATTAAGACAACTATTTGATGTCATTTTTGTAAGTATGTAGAATATCAAAAAAGAAAGCCCCACTGCAGCACTCAGTAATCCAATTATGAGATACACAAATTCGATGTTAGATTCCTTCATATTTGAAAGTCCAACTCCTGAAAAACCAAAATCTGTCGTATTACCTAAATTCTCGAATTCACGTTCTCTCGGTGCTTGTTGTCCGTAAGTATGATTTCTCTTTCCAAATTGTTCCGATACAGTCAGTGAAATATCAGCCATATCTGAATAGTTATTTCTTATGTTGAACTTTGATTCTTCTGATACAAAAGGTAAAGCTAGTAAGGACGTCAACGTCGTTCCAACATTGAACGATAAGCAGAAAACTTGGATATACGGCCCTGAATTGGAACTCCAAGTTTTTATCACGAGAGCACTGCTTACTGAAAAACAAAACGCATTTTCTACATGTCTGAATTACAACATGGCAACCAGATTCAATTATTTGAACACAATACCACATGAAACAAGGATGAATACTATGTGTATAACTATTTAGCAAAGCACAGCTAACCGGATTCATTCATAAGAGCACAATATCAAGGACTAATACCATGTGTATTGAGCGCACTAAACTTTAGTGCGACATCAAGAACAAATACCATGTGTATTAATACATCATCATAAGTGCGCAATACCAAGGACAAATACCATGTGTATTAATACATCATCATAAGTGCGCAATACCAAGGACAAATCCCGTAAACACACCACACCAGCAAACCTGTCTCATTCTAACAGAGCACATACCAAGAACAATTGTATATGAGCTTACCTGCTTCGATTACCCCAAATGTTATACCATTTAAGCTGAAAAACACCAGCACGAGCCAGATATTGCCAAGCCAAGGAATTGCTATAGTAAATCCTGCACCCATGCTCAAAAACAGTGCTAGTTGCAATGTGGGGTTCACATTGCATTTGCCCGCCATGAATCCTGTAATAAGACCCCCGAGTGCGAAGCCTCCCGAGTAAAAGGCGAATGAGAACGACATTTGAGCTGTACTGACTCCCAATTGGTCTTTCAGGTCAAGTAAAGTTGGTCCTATAAGGGTTGCCGCCATACCCTGAAAACATCAACACATAAATAGTTTATCACAACTTTTTGAAATTAATACAATAAGTTTTGCATTACACGTTCTTATAACGAAATTAAAAAATAAGTTTCAAATAATATGAAATCGAAATTAATTTAATATCGTGAGCTTTCTATCATTTCATAATTCTATGTGAGACTGTTTGATCATCCCTATATAGAGCATCTATGAATTCTGGGGTATTTTGTCCTCTTTCTATGGCACTGGTACTGCACTAAATTACGCTTGGTCCGTTTCGGTAACAAGATGGCTACGGTTCCGGTTAGAAAGTTCGGTAAGATATTTCTTTTTATTTATTTCTCAAGATATAGCATAAATGATCCTAATTTTTTCGACATAAATAGAGGATATCCTATGATTTATGAGTGATGTGATTTTTATCCACGAATGGATATGATATCTGCACGAGCGAGCGTAGCGAGAGAGTGCAGATATCGATATCCATGAGTGGATTAAAATCATATCACGAGTTAATCATTGGATGTTCTTTTTATTCCATAGTTAAAGTCATCATCAGAATCGTCGGAAATTAAGTGATTTAATTCGAATTTTCCAAACGATCCGGCGATGTTGACACTTAGTCTCGTTTTGAGTCTGATGTAGCCAAAATCCATCATAGCATACGGCGCCGTATATCATGGCTTAAACACCGTATGCTATGGTTAAATGAAAATTTGTCAAAAATATCATATTTTACTACTGATTACAAAAATACCGTTTTTATTTTGACATGTTATCCTATGAATATCATGCTAAGTATGGAATAAACATGAATAAACATCGTATGTTTTTGGAAATCCAAGTGACTTCGCACGAAATAGTTGGAGGTATGACAGAATCGTCAATATAATCCCTCACTTGTGTTACGTAAATGGATCCGTTTCGGTCACTAGTTTAGATAGTGCAGAACCAGTGTATGAGCGTAACCAAGCATCAGACACTTGATAAAACTACCATGCCTACTGATCTTGACCCCGCCTACGACCACGACAGTGCTTGGAAAATCGCAATTGTTGGCGCTGATTCTAGCTATAAGACGAAAACAAGTTTATTAAAAGAGAACAATTGATAGTTTACCGCCACAGCTGTTGCTAGATATAGAAGTCACGTAATGGTGAATTTTTCTGTCTTCTTATGTTGCCTTCTATGGTTAATAGTTCCACCAGACTTTGTTTCATCTTTGCTTAAACTATGAACATTCTCTTCAATTGCCAGGGTGTCGTCATTGATATGCTCATCAATGTCATCATTCTTCGGCGTAGCAATCGCACCATTAGCACGAGCATTTTCGTTGTCTCGGGGTTTATTCTCGAGGTATCTCTCCCCACTCTTGGTATTAGATACTTTCGATGTATCATCGGTATGTAATATTTCATTCAAACGAATAGAACCGTCTGTTTGTGAGGTTATTTTCCAAGTTTCAGAGTTGTCAACTGAGTTATCCACACTTTCGTAATTTATTCCTTCCATGATGACTTATAATTCATAAATAATGGTGCTTCTCTTATGAGTGCATTTAATAATGCATGTTCTGATGTTTATATTTCTCAAGGTGCTTTTGATATGTTTACCTCAAAAGGGGCGGACCAGACGATTTTTGGACTGGTTATAAAGGAGGGGGCTAATCTATTACCTAACCGAAAGACCACTAGATTTAAGTATTGTGTACACGAACCCTTTGTGACAGATTGTATACTATATGTGCATACACAAACTACATCATCTCATACAGTGTTAAAATGATAGCCCCAGACCGAATTTAATGGATTGGTCTTAATCAGATGGCAGGTATTTAAGCCGATAACCTATTTGTTACATAATCACGCGATACTAACTTCGACCGTTAATTTGAATTTTTGACCTACCTGATGCTTGAAAATCAAGGAGTGCGAGTCTCATACTGCACCGTTTTTCTTTAAATTTAAACCATTAAAAACAAAACAAAATTGCCTTTCTGTCAGTGCATTACTTTATTGTAAAGAGTCCCTCGTTCTAGTAGCGTTTTGGTCCCCAGTTGTTAGGCCTTCTCACAGCTGGGGACCAAAACGCCGCTGGAAGTAGGGACTCTGTTTAAAAGAATAATTTAACAACAGATAGAAATTTTTGTTATGCTTTGAATGGAACAAGTTTGAAGAAAAACGGTGCAGTATGAGACTCGTAATCCTTGATTTTCAAACATCCGGTAGGTCAAAAATTCAAATAAATGGTCGAAGTTAGTACCGCGTGATAATGTATTGTTCGCTTCCAAGGAGGATTGGAAGCCTCAGTACCAACTCGATATTCTTTAATCCCCAAGTAATGCGATATTGCCGATCAAGCCTGAATATTTTTACTGCTGCGGGGAGAATGAACGATATTCTCCAACAAAGCTGGCGGCACTTTTGTCTGAAATTTACCTGGCTATACATTAACAATCACGTTCAAAATATTAAAACTAATGGTCATTATAAGTCAATAATTATCTTGATCATTTTGTAAACAATTTAAGCCAACTTACTGATTATCGCGTATAGTTTCACTGTCTTGAAGTGTAAGACAAATACATGTAGCAACGTTGAAGTATTTATTTCAGAAAAGGCAATTTGAAGACCCCGTATAAGTTTAAACAACTTTACTAATATTTTAGTCTAACCTCATGTTATAAGATGTGATATGTGAAACTACGTTTTAGAGATCATAATTATGTTTAATAAGCGATAATTCACACCATTTATAGCTTTTATCGTCACGTGTCTTTTGCAGAAAAATTAAGAAAAAATTGGTTGATGAACAAGCGAAAAATGAACTGATTCATGAATGAAAGTGGTTCAGACAAAACGCTTTTTTTAAATTTTGGTTCTCATAAAGTAGACTAAAGACCAATGGGTACAGTAATGTTTAAAACTTTATATATTCTTCCCTTCATCCTATTTAAACTGTCAAAAGTGTGATTTATTTTGTTTGATATATAGTTTTGTTTTTCAAAAAATTTCAATACTCATTAACAGGATTTGTGCGTTTAGTAGAAAATGTGAAAAGCACACAGAACGCACTTTATCTATAACAAAATCTGTAAAAAAGTAAAACTTTAGTGGTACTGACTGAATCACCCACGACTGTGGCACCAGTTACTACTCCAGCAACAGGCATTAGTTATTACTCCAGTAACAGGCATAACGGTGACAACAGTTACCACTCCAGTAACAGTCATTACGGTGACACCAGTTACCACTCCAGCAACAGGCATTGCGGTGACAGCAGTTACCATTCCAGTAACAGTCATTACGGTGAACCAAGTTACCACTCCAGTAACAAACATTACGGTTACAGCAGTTACCACTCCAGTAACAGTCATTACGGTGAACCAAGTTACCACTCCAGTAACAGGCATTACGGTGACAGCAGTTACCACTCCAGTAACAGGCATAACGGTGACAGAAGTTACCACTCAAGTAACAGGCATAACGGTGACAACAGTTACCAATCCAGTAACAGTCATTACGGTGACAACAGTTACCACTCCAGTAACAGGCATTATGGTGACACCAGTTACCACTCCAGTAACAGGCATAACGGTGACAACAGTTACCACTCCAGTAACAGGCATTACGGTGACAGCAGTTACCACTCCAGTAACAGCCATTACGGTGAACCAAGTTACCACTCCAGTAACAGGCATTACGGTGACAGCAGTTACCACTCCAGTAACAGCCATTACGGTGAACCAAATTACCACTCCAGTAACAGGCATTACGGTGACACAGGTTACCACTCCAGTAACAGGCATTACGATGACAGCAGTTACCACTCAAGTAACAAGCATTACGGTAACAGCAGTTACCACTTCAATAACAGGCATTACGGTGACAGCATTTACCACTCCAGCAACAGGCATAACGGTGACAGAAGTTACCACTCAAGTAACAGCCATTACGGTGACACCAGTGACCACTCCAGTAACAGCCATAACGGTGACACAAGTAACCACGCCAGTAACAAGCATTACGGTGACACCAGTTACCACTCCAGTAAGCAGGCATTACGGTGACACCAGTTACAACTCCAGCAACAGGCATAATGATGACAGAAGTTACCAGTTCAGTAACATGCATAACGGTTACACCAGATACCACTCAAGTAACAGGCATTACGGTGAACAAAATTACCACTCCAGTAACAGCCATTACGGTTACACAAGTTATCGCTCCAGTAACAGGCATTACGGTGAACTAAGTTACCACTCCAGTAACATGCATTGCTGTGACACCAGTTACCACTCCAGTAACAGGCATTACGGTGACAGCAGTTACCACTGAAGTAACAGGCATTACGGTGACACAAGCTACCACTCCAGTAACAGCCATTACGGTTACACCAGTTACCCTTCCAGTAACCGGCATAACGGTGAACCAAGTTACCACTCCAATAACATGCATTGCTGTGACACCAGTTACCACTCCAGTAACAGGCATTGCTGTGACACCAGTTACCACTCCAGTTACAGGCATAACGGTGACACAAGTTATCGCTCCAGTATCAGGCATTACGGTGACACCAGTTATCATTCCTGTAACAGGCATAACGGTTATACCAGTTACCAATCCAGTAACAGGCATTACGGTGAACCAAGTTACCACTCCGGTAACAGGCATTGCTGTGACACTAGTTACCACTCCAGTAACAGGCATTACGGTGAACCAAGTTACCACTCCAGTAACAAGCATTACGGTGAACCAAGTTACCAATCCAGTAACAGGCATTACGGTGAACCAAGTTACCACTCCAGTAACAGGCATTACGGTGAACCAAGTTACCACTCCAGTAACAGGCATTACGGTGAACCAAGTTACCACTCCAGTAACAGGCATTACGGTGAACCAAGTTACCACTCAAGTAACAGGCATTACGGTGAACCAAGTTACCACTCCAATAACAGAAATAACAGTGACAGAAGTTACCAGTCCAGTAACATGCATAACGGTTACACCAGTTACCACTCCTGTTACATGCATTTCATATTTTTGATACTAGAGTAACACAGATGCGCAGAGAGTTACCATACTTAATCCGGCCACTAGCAAAGTGAGGCAAAGTATATTATGATTGGTTTGAACAAATCAACCACCATGGTATGATAACATTTCAAACCTATTAAGTCATTCACGATCATTTGAGTGGCGTTTAGAATTTTGGATGCAAAAACACCAACATGAAGTAATCTTAATCAAAAGTGAAAGAGCCCAAGTATGCCGATGTAATGTCATTTCTCAGGAATCTGAATCTGCTAACCGAATTTTGATCCGATTTTCGGTTGACGTTTTGAAATCTCAAAAATGCCATTTTGGTGTAATCTTATGTTACGTCAATGGGCCAAATAAAATTTATAAATTGTAAAGATCTGGATGAAAATAAAAATAAAATATAAATGAAAGCCTACAATAAAAAAGGGCCCCGAAAGCTATTAAATTGAAAACTTAGACACCGAAGCAATGGTCAAAATATAGGTCAAATCTATGGGTCTTCCTTATTTTTTCGATTCTGACACTACACTTTCTCAATACTCTGAATATTGATAGCGAAGAGTATTCTTATATCCGTTTGCCATCAGAGAGTAATTTGACCTATTTGTGAGATTTACATTGTAGAGTCCGAAAAATAGGTCAAAACGAAAGGTTCTCAAAATTTAATGCGTGATTTATGAAAAATATGTAGAGATTTCTTAAGAATCCAAATATGCAATCGATATTGAAATAAGACTTCTGGTTTAGATTCTGTAGCGTTTTGAAATCTCGAAAATCGATAGGATTACACCCATTGTTAAGTCAAGTGAGATAAAGAACAAATGTGAATTGAAAACTATCAGACACAGACTGCATACGAATAAAATTCATGAAATTCATGAAATGTCAATCTTTTGGCTGACTCAGGCTAATAAAGTCTGACATCTGGAGTCTTAAATTGAACTTGTTCAATTTCTCAAGTCCACGTAACTTTACTTTACTTTTTGAACTGACGGCATTTGGTAATTATTGTTTTATTCTATTGTCGTTAGTCCAGTGTGAAGAATATGAAAGCGGGATTGTCTTGTTTTTCAAAAAGTGGGATCAGTTTAGCCAGTTTGTTTGGGTTTTGGGTAATCAAATACTGAGAAAATATTTTTATAACGTACATATTCAATTTGTATAGAACCGAGCCTTCAAAGGCTTATGGGACACTTTAAATAATTACACGTCATATTTGTTTCTGATATGAACATCGTTTCATGTTCGACGTAATCGTGAAAGTGTTTCTCGTTTAACCCCTCCCAGCTTCAAGCTAGCCTTATTTAAATAAGAAACTCGAAAAGTGAGGATAAGGGGTCTACGACTGTCGAGTATCATGAATACGGTAGCAGCTACAATGCTTGGGATTGCGGGAATCGCTCCACCGGTACGAGATTACCCGGAACATGGTCATATACCCGCATAATGTTTGCCACAACTTTAGCCTTCGCACCGCCCTAAACAAACTGGGAAATTTCTACCCCGGGGCCATTATATAGAGGCATTGGCAAACTGCATTGGCCGTCGAACCAGCGGTTTGGGATAGCGTGCCAATGATTTTCCTACACGCTTTGGTGACAAGACAAATACCTAGTCTCACTTTTGACCATGATATGACCTTGGCCCA